TCACCCAAGTATCATTGACTCATTGACCCATTGCAAGGCAGAACTGGAACTACATTGTTTACTGTGTGTGGTATCACCCAAGTATCGTTGACTTTTAATTAATTCTGGTCGACAGAGCAGTCTATTTTAGAAGTGCCATGTGGTATGCGCGTTGCATCTCTCTCAGACCAATCCGGTTCCGGTAAGTGTGACGTCACTGCTCTGTGAGTTCAAACCATTCCCACTGCACAGAGAGTTACATGGAACCATGGAACTGGAAATTGACGCGCAACTTTACTGTTCGTCCAATGGATTGTTGTGACTCGCCAAAATGAGCCCACGCGCTGAAGTTAATACTCATGCATGCACGACCGTGGTTGCTCCTCGGATGTATCTAACTTATAGAGCCAGGTTGGTGCAGCCGTGTTCCTTCCCTCACCTCCCACCTCTGCAACCCGGGCTCGAAGCCCGTGTCAGCCGATGCATGGATTGGGTTTCCCAGTTCCTACCCGACTCCATGGGTTTTTACCCCGACCATACTTCTTCCGCTGTCCTCACTATGTCTGTCTCTCACTGTCTCCTTTCTGCGGTTTTCTTCGTACTTGTGAAATACAATGCCTTGGCCTCAGAAGGATCCCTGGTATCATAACGAGGAGTTGACAGGAACAATAATATTCAATTGTGAGAGTGATTGAAGTGATTTCTCTTCCTTACAGTAACTCGCCTTTTTTGTCTGTATTTTTTCCTCAGGTGGTCTTTACAACAAAGATTTATCATCTAAACATTAGCAGCAAGGGAAGCATCTGTTTAGACATCCTAAGGTCACAGTGGTCACCGGCCTTTACGATCTCTAAAGGTAGACTCCTTTCCATCTCTGAGAACTTTTTCTAAGGGAAAGGGAATTTTTATCAGTGTTTCACTGCATTCTGATTTACATGTCTACCAAAGTCAGGCTGTTATCCAGAATGTCGTTCGACAAACAGATGGGTTCACAGCACGTTTTACCGCAGATCGTCAGCAAGTTATGGCGATTGCTCGGGCAAGATGGTACACGTGTTGACCCTTGCAGCTCCGTGACACGAGATTACGGTGTGGATGCTTTGGGGAGTAGTTCCTTGAGGATGGATTGGATATAGGATGAGAAATCGTTACGAAACAAGTATGGCAGTTTGTGATTGTCCCATACTTTCTGGGGTTTCCTCCCATGCACCTCTTATTAAACTGTAACCGCTTCTTATTGTCTCCTCTCCCAGAATGTGGGTGAATGTAGATCGTATGGCGGCTGCGTTTATATGTATTCATTGTACCACGTTTAATGTCTTCATTGTACAGCGCATTTGAACCTATTTATATGAAAGTTGCACTTTATAAATGAATGAATTATTATTTATTATATAAAATACTGTTTTCATTACGGGAAAAGGGTGCATTACATTGTATTGACGAGTGATAAAAGATTGCCAAGAATACGAAAACTCAAAAATCCTATATAACACAGCAAACAATGACAGAATTTCAGCTTTTTAAATAACAGATCACAGTTCCTGATGCAGCAAATGTTTGCATCTTGGTAGAGGCGCTTATTGATTAAGTGACATCATGACATCGATTGTAAAAGTGACAAAGTTGTGCATCATTTTGCCCCAAAACACATCGAAACCATTGCACCAGTTCAGTATGGAGTCATACAGCGTCTCTTCCACGACTGTCTACGTCTTGACGTCTTGCGGACCGTCTATGTTAAAGTCTGGTTTCCTTTAGTCGTTTGTAACGCAGAGGGTCAAGACGTCAAGACGCAGACAGTCACGGAAGAGACGTCATCCACCAAAAAAAATTTTTTTAAAGGCGTCTAAAACTCTGAAATTTTTCGCAAAAAAATGCCTTTTTTAGGTTGCAATGCTGCTTCTTCAAGCAAAACTGGTACTCCAGTTTGATGTAGTTTGTTAATGGTTAGCTATTTTGTTGACGATCAGGGATGCATAATTATGCTCGTAATAAGGAGAAAATGGACAAAATGAGTGGTACTAAGCGACAGAAGCATCGTTGTACGCCCGTCATGCCAACGTACGTGTTTATATAGGCATACTCAGCGACTTGACAGTCGGCAAAGTTGAACCGGGATCCGTCTGGGGCTGGTTTGCGCTGGTGGCGACACTGCCATTTGACATGTTTCCATAATGTCTGCGTTGCAGTTTGCGTCTGGATTGCGTTGCTCCCTGCGTTTCTCACGTCTATATGGAAACCAGGCTCAAGTTTGTGGGAAAGATCACCGTTATCCGTCATTTCTTGCGGCCAGGCAACATCGCCTGTTCGCGTGACGTGTGAATGATACATGCGCGCTTGTAGCACATCACGTGATTAGTTCGCGACCAATAAAAATTCACTCATCTGTGATCGTGGTATACCAAGATTAGTTGTGGACCGGGAGTTGCACTTCGCTGTCCTGTAATGAAATACTTTCTCGGTTTTTTTTTTATTTCGTCACCTGCAGTGTTACTGTCAATCTACGAGCTCCTCATCAAACCCGACCCAGACGACCCCTTGGTTCCCGAAATAGCCAGTATATATAAGACTGATAGAAAGAAATACGAAGAGCTGGCCAAGGAGTGGACGCAAAAGTACGCCATGTGATCAGCCGCTCCCCCTAAACAAACAAAAGAAAATGACGAGTTTAAAGGGCTCAGCATCAACAAACGGGACAAATCCACAACCAAGGGACTGTCATCGCTTGCGGTTTACAGTCTCGGATGGCTCAGTGTCGTGAAGAAAAATATGCAATCTGGCGATTAATCTACCGAAACCGTTCCTCGTATGCCACACCATTACATTATTCTGGATTTTGGTCACCTCTTTTTCTGTTACTGGATTCAATATGTCATATATGCGTATAGTGGCTTCTCGTTTGAACCAAAAATGTCGTCCGCCGCCCCGATCCTGACTGGGACATGTCAGTTACTATATTAAACAGTTTTACAGTCAACGGCAAAAAGGAGGAACGGAGAATTTTCAAGATCATTAACATGCACACTGACTAGTAGGGGCCCTAGTATGGATCCCCAAGGTATACCAAATGAGATGTTACAAGAGAAAGAGGAGTTTCATTTACCTTGACAAATTCTTTTCGATTACAAAGGTAGCTCCCAAATCACTCCAACGCAATTCCTCTGCCATAATGCTATAATAATCTAATTTAAACAGAAGTATGTCATGGTTAACAGTTTTAAAGGCCTTGGAGATGTCTAGAAATATACCAATATAGTAGAGACTGATAAGCCCAAATCAATCGTTATTTTGTCGAGTAGCTTAATTATGGTATGCGAAGTGGAATGGTTCTCTCAAAATCCAGATTGATTATTTGAAATTGTGTTACTTTACGCTTATAAATCATATGTTCTAGGACGTTTTAAAAAGATATAAATTGGTGTGTATAATTATTAAAAAGAGAAAAGAGTACCATTCTTCAAGATTTGGGTGACTCTCGCAATTTTCGTATCCTCAGGTTCTACACCAGTAGAGAAAGATAAATTAATGACAAATAAGGCAGAGAGACAGCATGGACCACAGTCTTCAACAATATGCAACCAATTTCATCAACTCGTACACCTTTTATTAGGTAATTTACTAACTACATTAATGATTTCTCCTTCTGTAGCTTGGGAGAAAAGGGCAGTTCAAGTATTTTGGTCGGGATTTGTTGAGTATATTGGGAGGAATTATGTCGTAGACAGAAGAAAAGTAATTATAGAGGGATCCCAATACAAAGCTTTAGGCGTCGATCTGCGCACTTCCCGTTCGAAAACGAGGCTGTGTACGTCAGCTTCAATTCTTAATACGATCAGACGATTGGAAGTAAGGAGTCAAGACACCAAATACATAAAGGTATGTTAAATTCAGACTTTTTAAGCTGCAAGTTTTTGTGGAAGAGTCTTTCAGGATGACTCGACCCGTAAAATCAAAAGAAAAATAACGACAATTGACCGCGAACTAACGTACCTGCGATGGTCGTGTACCGCCATGTGCAGGGGGCGTGGTTTAAACTGAAGTAGCGTCACACATACGAAGGGTATACTGCACTCGGTTTCGATGCCGATACGCGCTAATGTAAAATCCCTCTATTTGAGTAATTTACTATTATTATGGATTATTAACAGACTTGCCTGCAGTTTCAGTTGATGTAATTGTAGGGTGCTGGCTGGTTTTAAATTAGGTTAGTTATTGATAATTTTCCATGTGTTTTTGATATTACCCTGTTGGGTACTAAATTGGTTAATAGTTATTTCGTTTAGCATTACGAAGCACAGTTGTTAACATGTTTTTGTCGCGTACACATTCAGAACGGTTTAGGGCAGTGGGGTCAGAGGTATATCTATGGTAAAGGTTGTTTTGGTGAGAGATAGATTTACACAGGCTGATGGTGACCCAGGATAATTAAGGAATACGTTTGCTTTGATTCACTTTTTCTTGGCTTTAATGGAAATCATTTATCAAGATTCGCATTAAAAATGTTCATGAAGTTAATGAAAGCTAAATTGATGTCCGGTGCATTGAATACGGAGCTCCAATCACTAGAATTTAGTCCTTATTTTAAATTCAAGAGATTTTCAGGAGAATAATCTTACCAGGGGTTAAGCAGTTTTGGCAGATGTAAAGAAGTAAATATGGGAAAATGGTCACATAAATCTGATAGTACAATTACAGATTTTAGAGTTGGTAATATATTTGACAAAATATTGTCTATTAGAGTGGCCGAAAAGTGTTGGTAGTCTAGTGGGTCTGTTGATTAAAAATTAAACTAGTTAACAGCGAATTAGTCATTGTTACCGATACCGTGGCAGCATTTATTAAAAAATCGCCATTTTGGGAGTTCAGTGCCACCACGAGAATGTTCAGAGTAAAAACGATGAGGACGTATGAGGGCGGCAAACAAATCTAGTGTTTTGATTATGTCATAATACGACTCTCAGGCTTGTTACCCAAAAGGTTTTTTTGGGGGGGGTTGGTTTGGTTTGGTTTGGTTTGGTTTGGTTTGGTTTGGTTTTGATCTTGCAGCCGAAATATGGGGGCTTTATAGCACAAGAAAAGAGAAAAAACGAGTAAAGTAAGTTGGATGTCATTCTCGGCAAATGACTACGGCTATCTGCACGAATTTCATTATGACCCTACTCTGGTTCAAATTGGGACGGTTCAACTTCATCATACGATCCAGTGTTGATCAACATTGTCGATGGAAAAGCATTTTCAAGTCGATGTCACTGCCCGACCAAATTAATTCACTTCCACGGGCATGTTCGCCCCATAGATATGAGAAGAGTAAAAAACTTATTGCTCCAGTAAAACTAAAATTGTCAGCCTTAACATCATTTTTTACACCTCATAAACATGTATACCTCTACACTTTTGGTCGGTATTTCCATAGCCCTGCTGTATTTTATAGTACCAGTTTTGCATTTGTCCTTGTGGTGGTCATTTTCATGACATGGGGACATGGTGGCCGTTTCCAAGCTGCATAGCGAGAGGACTGTCGCCAACCAAAAAGTACGATTTCCACACGTTAACTCTCCTATGTTTGAAGATGCAATTTCCTGTTTGCCCTTTATTATAAATAACTCGGGTAAGAAAGAGTTTTTAGACTTTCATTGATGCGTAAACTTACCTGAAAGTGAGGTTACTGAGCATGACAGCGTACGCACAGACGTAATTCTTGTACATGTATTAGTGTCACACACGAGTCGACTGCATAGGACTATTTATTTCAGGAAAGGCTTTTCCATAAATCTACATTGTCGAGGAGGCGCTAACTCCAAGGTACAATAATTTGTCGTCTGAGCTAAGGTTTGGTGGGTGAATTAATTTTCTTGATTAGGCAATATTTACAGCACCTGCATGCGTGTGTAGCTTGTCTATCATGTATTTCGTGCTTTAGTGAGACAGTTTTATAACATCTAGTTGTGAGTTTATGAGGGGTTTCGCGTAATTTGTGGTAGTTGTACAGATTTTGGTTCAATCTGGCAGAGCTGTGAAGCAAATTTAGCATAAGCCTGTCCTTTTTATGAGTCTCCCTGACCGGGCGAGAATTTTTTTACAGAACTATAGTCGACTTGAATAGGGCCTTAAGGCTACAGCTTGGCTCTTGGGGATTCAGAGGCGTGAAAATTGGTCTCCTTTCAAACTAGTCTCCTCTCAAGACTGGCAATAAAACCATTTTCCAATAGGAAAGCACTCGGTGTATCCCCTGAAGCTCTGTTTTAAAAAAATAAATGTTGACAAGTCGGCCAAAATGACGACCCTTTCAGAGCTTCCCAAATGCAGAGAAGGCCTACGTTCGACAATAAAAAGCGCAGTTTCCAAACTTAAATCCTCCCTTTTTTCCAGCCATAATTTCCTTTGTGCCCATAAATATTGCTTAGATCCTACATCTGTTGACAAGCGCATTACTTAAAGGTAAATTTACGAACCTCAGATTGGCTGTGAAAAATTTGCACTTTTCAGGGGGGCAGAGCACCTGTTTATTTTTGTTCTGTAGAATTAGAAGAGGTTACAAAAATCTTTCGCTTCTGGTCAGGGCGCGCGTTGATTTCAAGCATGAGCGTCAATCTTTTTTTCTCTTCGATAGCTGCAACAGCGCCCTCTATTGCCGCACTGCCACAACATGGGGAGCAACAAGGAACGAAGAAGGGCACAAAGGCAAATGATGGAGGATACCAAGGTACATGTAAATGAAGACACACACACAAAAAAAAAATCGTAACCCACTCTGTTTGTACAATCCAACCCTGGAGAAGGGGGAAAAAAGCCGCGTCGCTGTATCAATTCCGGAACATCAGTCTGACCAGAGACAAACTTGGGGGGGGGATCCCGCTTGTGCGTTCACTCACTCACTCGGGAACGCCCTGTGGTTTGTGCGATGCATTGTGATTATTGAACGATCTTCGCTTTGACCGTACTGAACAAGGACTGCAATTTTCTTAATGTTTCTCAGAGCACTGAATACAAAACACGAAACGAGCCAACCTGATGAAACCTACAGTAAAATGTCGAACTCCAAAGCTGGCCAGTCATAAAAATCTGCGGCAAAATCCATAGGTGTATTAACCAAACGTTTTTCTGTTTTCTCAAACTTTCTGAAAATCGAAGATTATTATGACATACATGTAAATTGAATACGGATGAATTGGATACGACAAACCACGAGTTCTCTTGGATCTCTTTAATGGCATTAATGCAGATTACACTAGAAATTAGAGAGAATTTCGCACCGTTTTTAAAAATAAATATTGGTTGGGGGTTGTAGATGTAATGCTAAAAACTATTAAGGCAGTTACAGAGATAAATCTCGCTGTTCTCTTGATAATTTAGCCAATAACTGCAACGCACAAAGTCAGAAAGGGTTTGACTTGGGGTGTGCCAGAAATTGTAGTTGATTTGAAACATGGTGGTTTATGGAATATGGGATTGGTTTGATTTTCTTTTAATTTCCAGCCTGAAAATAAACTTTCTGTGATCCTTTAAAATCTTCCAGAAAAAAGTTTAATGCACATTTTGGACATTGAACTTCAGTCTGTTTAAAAGTTACTCTCACACTTACATGAAGACTATTCAGTACGGGCCCCCCCCCGAAAAGAAAACCTGGGCAGCTGAGTAATAAAGGATCTGAAGATATGGAAGCGCTCTCCAAAAACTATACGCTAGAGTTTCAGAAATTGCTACTTTTTTTAGACACGCTTAATGTGTTGATTAAACCGACTTTCCAAGGTCTTTATTTGAATTTCCCGAAGTAGGCTTCGGACACTTCTGACGGGCTTACATTTTATCAAGTCAACGGGTTCAAAAAGGGGGCAATTATGCTGCTTAATTTCAACGCTGAATTTCACCCACCCTGATCCCGGCGATCGCATGCCTTTTGCAGGATTGAACTTGAAACATTCATGAAGTACTGAAGCGATGGCTGTTGCGCAGTCCTGCACTAATTCATGGCTTATTTTTATTTTATTTTTTTTCACGTTATTTCTTGCTCTCAAGAGTACCGGAAGCGCACCATCAGGGGTCAGACTTTTATAGCCATGACGTCATGGAAATATGTGGTCACGTTACGGGACATGAATATTCAAATTATTGCGCATTGCGGAATCAGTCGGTGGTGACGAGTAATGCAGGATCGATGCCAGAAAAAAATCTTAGAATCGATGTTTTATACCTACGGGAAAGAATCAAGCGACAGGCGGGAAGAGAAAGGTGTTTAGTTTGCCATCACAATTATTTGTTTAGTTTGGTATTGTACAAATGAAAATCAAAGTACGTTTCTTTAGCGTTGTATACAATTTTACATTTGCTCAGTGAGATAAAAACCTGTAGAATGAAAGCCCCCGTTTCGGAACACTAAGAAATTTCAGTACCATAGTATCGAAACTGATACTGTCGGTGTAGTTTGAATCGAATAATGACTGTCGAAAATTTGAGTGGCATGCAGCAGCGCAGCGCAGGCGCTAGGTAAAGGTGAAAAAAAAGCAAAAGAAAGGCGAAGAAGGAAGTCGAATTGGTCATTGTTTAGAGTCTCTAGATTCTTCTCCCAACAAATTAACTAACTTCAACAGATATGGCATTAAAGAGAATAAATAAGGTAATTATTCCAAGTTTATTTGTGATGAATTGATTGCCTCTTTTGTGTCCTAGCCTATTTGACGAAATCTTCGACATGGGCATCGGGCAGTACTTACATGGCCACGATGACTGAATGGTTTGTATTGTATTTTGTGTTGCATGACGACATCAGGATCATATCATGTGCCCGCCCTAAAAGCCAACTAATAATGAACTAACGTTGGCCTGTTTTCATCATGTCGTTTTAATTTGTATTTCGTTGGTTTTGGGTCTCGTAATTGTGTATTCTGATTACAGTTGGTCATAAACACTTCTCCCCAGGGTTTAGAAGTAGGCCTGAGCCTTTTCTGAGGCTTTAGACCCTAGATTTTTTGTTAGATAAGACAGCCCTAACTTAGCACATGAAGTAGCTCTACTAAGTGGAGCGTTAATATTCCTCTTTTTCAATTTTGGAGGGAATCATCATACATGTACTAATGCTCCACACCTCTACATAGAGTCAGATTGAAACGGTGCTCAAAAATTCCAAAGACCCACCAAAAATACCTCTATGGCTTCCGTAAATGTCAATGTCAAACGGTTTAGAAGGGAAAAAAAAGTTGTTTACTTAGAAAACACTTTTTTTCAGACCAGTCTTATAGGGTTCGTGTACGAGGTGTCAAGTGGCGTCGGTATATGGAACCCTTTCCCATATGTACTCCCAAAATTGTGAGGCACTGTCTTTGTGCCTCACAGTTCCAAGTTTTCATTGCTTTGTAACGCTATGGGATTCAGAATGTGCACTTTTTTCATCAAATCTTCCCCCAAAAGCCGGCCCAACTAACTTATATTTGCGACCAGTCCAACAATACAGCCTCATTTCCACTGGAACAATCTTGCCACACAATGTTGGTTCCCCATGAAGGAATGTGTACATGACCGATGGAGTCGAAGTTTCCCTTGAGGTGATGTATACGTCGTACGTCACTGGACTTATCGCCATCCCTATTATATATGTTCGGAGGACTGAGACGGGAACCAGTCTTCCGTTCAACAGATATGTGCCACAGTACGCAGCTCAAATGTGCATATTGTTTGTTGAAGAGAGGCAAGATAGTAAGTAATAGGTCTGAATTTTGCCAAAAATAGCTTATAGATGGTCCCAAAAAATGATCACTTGTTAGATATTATATAGTGTGGACAGCTTTTGGGGAGAGGTTTGATTGAAAAAGTGCAGTGTTAGACAGATTAAGCGGGCACATTCAGAATTCGCTAGCGTTATCACAAAGCAGTGAATATTCAGCACTGTGAAGCACCAGGAGAGTGCTTCCAAATACTGAGCGAAGTACGCATACTGACCTACAATCCCGACGTACTCAGATTGAACCCACTCGTGGGATATTTTTTTTCCCCTCCTCAATTAACAAAAAGTTTTACCGCGGATTCAAAGTTTTTCAGTCAGTTAAGGAAGGTACATATATTTCGCAAATCGCATTTTTATTCTTCACACAGGTACCCCTATGGTATTGCCAAGGTCAAAAACGAGAGGTCACATGATAATTCCAAAAATAGCATATTGGGTATAGTGCTGGTGACATCGGGGTCCATGAATCTAGCTACAAATAAGGATGCCACTAACTTTTCCCCACAGGTACTTACTAGCCTTTGGAAAGCATTTACATGACCTAAAAAGTCAAATTTGGCAGGGAAAATGTTGAAATAGTCACTAGGAAAAGACACAATTTTTCAAACAAGTTTCCAGGCCTTAAATTGAATTTTTTTTGTTAGGGCACTGCCATTTGTCATTGGTGGGATGGCGTAAATAAATGGCACTAAGGCCAAATGTGAGGGCATTAATGCCATCAGCATACCAAAGTTATGGTCATTGATGCCATCCCGATATTTTTTTGGAAATGTAAAAGTGTAAATAATTCACAGAAAAAGTAGGACTCGCATTATACCTGAACGTGTCCATGATTGGTGCCAAACCAGCAGCCGAGTGTTGAAAGGCTTTGGCTCATTTTTACTGCAGGCGTTCTTTCCTCGGCATTTCGCTTACCACAAACACTGGCCAGTCAACTGAATGATTTTGCGCACAATAACGTACGTGAGAATCAGGGTAGTCACTATCGATGTCGTGTATATACAGTTCGGATATCGCGCGGCGCGTGGCACTAAACTGCAAACACTACATTACGGTGTTAGTTAAAATACTGCCATGACCATACAGTTGTCCCATGTGCATGAAAGACGTAGAGCCCTCAATATATACTGTTAACGCGTACACATTGATGAGCACTGAGTTTTAGACTAACATTATTGCATGATACATTAAAATGCTTGACTTGGGCCTGCGCTGTTGTGTTAAGTCTTTGGATAGGCCGGCGGGTGTCGCTTGTGCCACGCCTGTGATCATGCAGTGTGCATGGAGCGGGCCAGCCAGGTCGCTGGTGCGCAGCGGGCTGAGTGTACGATATCCCCACTTACACACAGTGCACGCACGCCCTGCATATGCGGGCATGCCATGCATTTTGATGGCACGGCGCAATGTTACGGTCGAATGTGAACGATCATGGAACGATGTGTATGTCGCTTTCCATGCCACTTTCCATGTATCTTGCTGAATGGGGGCAGTTGATCTGTACATGTTGGGCACTACAGCCAAGAGAAAAAAGGGGCACTGCCATCTCGGCTGTGAAACACGATCACTTTTTGGAGGAACCACGGCCAAATGGGAGGGCACTGACGGCCATGGCCATCGAGGCCGTCGGGAAATTTGAGGCCTGAGTTTCTTAGGGTTTGTGCATATTGGTCAAGCAGCATCCGTATGTGGAATTTTTGCCACATGTTTACTTACTATACATGGTTTTTCTTTCTTTTTCGGTAGATTAATTCCCTCGAAGGATTTTTTTTTTAAAAAGGGAAATAAGGACCGAAATCCATTTGGTCAGGTTCGTATTTCCTATGTACCCGACTTGGGCAAAAAGTATCCAGAAACCTGTCCAAACTGCAGTAACAATAGCAGCAGTGTTTTTCGTTGGACTCTCTGAATTATTTCTTCTACATTTGAAGATGGTCTGCGATAGTCGTAAAGCTTGTATGTCCAAATGTTGAAAGATGCAACGTTTACAGTCCGAGTTTATACTTGGACTAGGCATAGGCCTAACCCATTTTGGGGTAAGCCTGAAAGAATGTGTAAGCACTTCAACAGTGGAAGCAGGACCTCATCAAGTGTCTCCAGTTGATGCCTCGGCAGTTGATTACAATGGAGCCGCGATTTTGATGTGATTAAATGCAAAGTGTGAAACAGATTATCAGATTAAAAATAATCCCTAATGCTCGATGTAGCCAATCACAGATTGTTGTGGAATTGGCCATGTTCAATAAATTTAGCAAATGGTACGATTACGACTCTGGGCCGTTTCACGTCTGAAGCTGCACTATGTGCCGTTGGGGGGGATGCTATGCTAACAACATTTTTAACTGTTGTTTTCTGTAGGAGGTGAGAGACGATTTGCACAAATTGATAAGGCCATTTCTCTCATTTTTTCCCCCTTTGTAGGAACTTCAGGATTTCGGGCGTGACCCCCCAGCCCAGTGTTCAGCAGGTCCTGTTGGAGATGACTGTAAGTCGAGTTGTGTGGGCGGGATGAAGGGAGAGCATGGCTAGGTTCACATGGAAGCAAATAAGGGCTCTGCAAAGCTAGTTTTGCTGTTGGACCCAAAAAAAAATCCAGTTTATTTCCTCAGCATTCCATTAGTTGGGTAGCAGCTGTACAGCAGCTGATAGAGTGTACTTATTGTAGAAAAATTCTGTTCTTGAATATTCGAATATTTATTTCCAAAGCCAGTATTTGGAGGTGAAAAATCAATGCCAAAATTACAAAACTGCATTTTGAGAGCATATTTCCAGGTGTTGCAAGTACGCTTGCAGGCCCAATACAAAACAGTAGGGCCAAACATTAGCTTTCCATCATATTTTGTGTCGGCCTTTGTGGGAATTGGTACTACCCAATATTCAAGTGTTCAGTTAAATGAAAGGTCAAATATCTTATTCTCTTTCTCATTGATTCAGCTTAAGATCTGTCACTGTAAAATAGATATTGTGTTTCATTTTACACGACTTTTCATTTTAGTTTTGTTTTGTACTGAAGTGATTTGGCTTTTTCTTTTTAAGGTAGAATTCCCAGTCCACATTTTGTTCGAGACCCACTACAGAATATGTAGCTTTTTAACTGCCTTTGATTTTGAAAGAAACCGCAGTGAGATTTGCCAGTAAAAGTTCATATTTGCATGTATGGTCCGACAGTGTAGGCATAGATGTCCATTTCAAGAACAGGTGATTTTTATCACGCTGCCCACGGCTTTGTGAAAAGAAAATGACATATTGCCCTTTTGTCCCTCTATTCGCAGTGTTTCACTGGCAGGCAACTATAATGGGTCCAGTAAGTATTCCGTTATTGTCTCTTGTGATATCACTCTTTCTGGTTACAATGAATAGAGGCTCTGCCCAATTAAGAATCTGCTCATCTATCTTTGCCTAGTACTGAAAGCCAGCTCTACAGCTCTAGGGTTCAATTTGGACTCGGATTGGAGGTGCCATGTTTGTCTATGTCTTGCTCGGTTCGGCAGTTTTACTCAAGCACCACCTTTACCCAGACATCTAAACCATTACTGCGAGGGCCTTGGGCTGATCAGCCATCCGCCAGAATGAGATACCGGTATGGTACTGAGATACTAGGGATTGTGGAGGAACTTCATTGTAATCGACGCCCATTCTCAAGACTTCACGAATTGACAATCAGTGACACTATTTATTTGACCTTGCTCGGGAACTTACCTCGGGCACTGTGACACGATCCGTCTGCATCAGTGCCTTATGTTTGTCCCATTGTTTGTGGATGCAAAGGATGTAAGTGCAGAATGGGTGAAACAAAAAAATACAAAAACGACAAGACTGAACAGCAATAGGATGCCGAAGTTGGAGCTGGAACATAGGTTTTCAAGGCCAGGCTACACTTCCATGAGTGCCGAAACAAAGTGAATTTGACATCACAAATGACTTTTGATGGAAACTTGCTAGAGTTGCAGCATGTTAGGTCTTGATGCTAATTCTTTTTTTGCAAGTTTTCTTGGAGTAGATGGATGGAGTAGATGAATGAAAATTTGTCCTAGTCTTCACATCGTGTCTTGTATTTATGAGCCTGACTTGCCCGAGCATCCTGGGCCCCTCCATGTTGATATTGTATTAAAATCTGAATTTCCCCTTTCGTTATTGTGATAACTGCCAGCAGATGTAATGACTGTGCGATTTTCTGAACCAGTTAGTCATTTCCATAGCATTTATATAGGGGATCGTCCAGAGTCCCACAGCATGTAAGAATAGAAACTAAACTTTGCCTTTTTCGCAGGCCGTTTCAGTTCAACAAGTGTAACTCATGAGCAAGCTTCCGTAGTCGTTCTTTCACTTCTACTTAAGCCTGTACTTGGGTGAGAAAAAAATGGTTTGAGTGAGAGTTGAATCCACGACCTTCCCAAGAGCGTATTCAAGTTTATCTTCAGAGCTGATGTTGTTGGACGTGTCATTAGTAACAGATGAATTGAGCTGGATTCTTGTGTGGTTGAAGTGTTGGCTTAAAGTTGAATTTGGGGTTTTATTTTCCCTTTGTTTGTACACGACTCAAACAAGTTAAGGACCACTCTTTTCTTAACTGGTAAGTTTTTTCCAAGCAACGAGTGGGGTCTAGTTCTTTCATGTGTTCGTTTGTCGTTTGTTTCAAAACATCAAATACACATTTGCAGTAGTAGAATATCTCATATAAAAAGGAATACACCAAATAGAAAGTGGTCCTTAACTTTTTTTGGAGTAGCGTAGTTCGGTGAGTTTGTTATGTATCTGTTTGTCTGTGTCTGTTTCTTCCACATGTGCGGGTCACTGATCATTGGGGGCTTTTTCCTGTGACTCATCGTTTTTACTTTCATTTTCGTATTGACACAAATCAAGGTGAACCTATACAAAATGCTAAAATGAAAGTAACCCACTGCCATTTTTCAGGGGTTGAACTGCAAGGGAAACCCCCTGCTCTACACTGGGTATCTGTGGGTAATATTTAGACAACATTACATAATTGGATCACATGTACTTGAAATTCACCGGAATTGAATAATGTCTCCATGGTGTGATGTTTCTGGTGGTTTTTGTCTTCCTCCCGCAGCCGGAAAGCGCCTATCAAGGTGGTGTCTTTTTTCTGACCATACACTTTCCAACAGATTACCCCTTCAAACCACCCAAGGTGAGTGTGTGACTTCACGTTGCCTTTCAAAGTATTCAAGGACATTTAGTTTGCACCAAGGACTGTTGCTGTGACGTTTTAATTCCAATCGTCAGTTAAGTCGTGTCACTTTTATTGTCCAAATGGACCGTTAATTTTCAAAGTGAGTCTGTGCCAGCATTTAGGACAAACTACTCAGGGTTTCTTCCCATTCCATAGTGCGCTTGGAACCATCGTCCATGCACTTGATTGTAATCACAAAAACTAATGAATAAAATGCCCTGGCGCTTTTTTTAAGATTCAGTGAAAATTGGACATTGTATATTCACCTTGTGTAATTACCTTGGGGTGTGATACATGTTGGCTATTTTGTCACGTTAACCAACCAGATGGTGGTCAGATTCACATTGTCTCAAGGATCGGCACTGCCAACACAGCATCAGGCATCTAATTAGCCCATGTGCTGATGGTATCATGCTTTAAGATGTACATTTGTACAGTTTACCGTGAAGCTTCAAATCCATTGTTTCCACACGTTCCCATGAGAAAGTGCATGTGTAAAGAAAGCACGACGTCACCAGTATGTGGGCTCTTGGTAGCTTTGTACTGGAATCAACATGTTCTCTGTATTCAGACTGGCCGAGGTCACAGGTATAAGCACCATGTGGGGGTTCATATACATTTCTTTTGCTTGTAGGAATTTAATCGTCATCAGCACCCATTACAAGGTTGATGAAACGGCAGAACTGCAGATACATTGTACACTGTGCACGTGATATCACTCGAGGAAATAGCTTTAATTCTGGTTGACAGATCAGTGTTGACGGATTCCGTCCATATAAACTAATCCGGCAACCAGAATTAGAAGGCCATTACTGCTGAGCCGTCCTGTGCACAAAAGATGCATAGTGCGCACGTTGCATTGCCCTCAGTCCTGTAGGATGTTGTGACTTGCCAAAACGCGCGCGCTCAAGCTGAAGCTTACGCATGAGTGTGGTGGCCCGGCAGGAATGGCATCTCCTCAGATTTTGTCTATTCTGGGGAGCCAGACAGTGTGCCTTCCTCACCTTCCACCTCTGCGATCCAGGTTCGAAGCCCACCCTAGCTGACACAGTGATTGAGTTTCCCAGTTCCCTACCTGAATTCATGGGTTTTACCAACGTTCTAGGCTTTTCCTCCCTATATTGCTTCTCACTGTCTCCCTTCTCTAGTTTCTTTATACTTGCGACCTAGAATCTTTTTTAATCCTTGGTTTCATTACCAGTAGTTGACAGGAACATCGATATTCAGTTGTGATGTGAGTTGTTGTGATTGAATTGATTTCCCTTCCTGCCAGTAACTTGCCTTTTTTGTCTGTATTTTTCCATTAGGTGGCCTTTACAACAAAAATTTATCATCCAAACATTAACAGCAATGGAAGCATCTGTTTAGACATCCTAAGGTCACAGTGGTCACCGGCACTCACGATCTCTAAAGGTAGAGTCCTTTTCATCCAAAAGAATTTGTATTTGGAAGGGAGGGAGAAATCTTCATAAGTTTTTCACTGTTCAGCTGTACTTGCCTCGCAAAACAGGCTCTCATCCAAAATGTAGTTTGACAAACAAATGGGTTCACAGCATGTTTTTACCGAAGGTCACTGGCACGTTACAACGATTGCTCGAGCAAGATAGTACACAGTCGTTGACCCTTGCAGCCCCCTGAAGCGAGAGTACAGTGTGGATACTTCAGGGAATGAAATTCAACACCTGAATCAAAATTGAGAGGTTTAGTGGTTGGGATGAGAAACTGTTACAAAACAAGTGCAGTACTTTCTAATTGCCCCGTGCAGTTTGCTATTAAATCGGCTTGCGTTTCATAAGAAGGGTGATAGTTTCGTTGCCCATTCTTCAGGCACACTATAACCTGCCCCTAAGTTTCATGATAATCAGGCCTTGCTTTGTGTGTTTTTACACATTGTTTAACGTTTTCATTGCATATCTGTTCAAAGGTTTTAAAAAGACCATTTTTTAATATAACCTCGTGTTCTTGAAATGATTGCCAAGAATGTGAAAACGCAGAAATTCGTTAAAATGCAAACTTATTTTTCACAACAGATCGCAGTTCCTGATGTACCCGATTTTTGCATTTCAGTAGGCACACTTATTGAGAAAGTGACATCATCACATTCATTGTGAAAGAAACAAGGTTGTGCAGTGTTTTGCCCAAATACAAATCATGACCAATTGTAGACATACACCCAATTACAGATTCATGACCAGTTGGGGACCAGGAGTAGCACTTCCTCAGTCATACAATTAAATACTCTCTTATTTTTCTTTTGTGTTTCATCACCTACAGTGTTACTGTCAATCTGCTCGCTCCTCAACGACCCCAACCCAGATGACCCCTTGGTCCCCGACATAGCTCGTCTATATAAGCAAGATAGACCTAAGTATGAAGAGCTGGCCAAGGAGTGGACGAAAAAGTACGCCATGTGATCAGCCGCTCCCCCTAAACATACAAAAAGAAATCACTAAAAGGGCTCAGCATCATCAAACGGGACAAATCCACAACCGTAAGCTTTGAATCAGGAAGTAGGGGTTGGGCAATCTTCTGACCATACAAGTGGGCGGTTCCCCATCATTCCTCCCCCTCCTGTTGTCATTTTCTTTGGGGGAGTTGTCATCTTGTCTTTGTTTTTTTAACAGATACTTGAGTCTTTACTTAATTTGGTTTATTTGTTGATTTTGTGGATTTGTAACACTCAAGGCCATTTACGAGCAAAATGGAAAAGCAACATGTTATTTTAGAGACCCCCCAAACGATTGAAAACAAATTTGGCAAGTTGTTTGGGGTTAAAGAAACGCCATTTTGTAGCCTGTACTGCACAGAAAAATGGATATTTCTGATGTCAGTCTTTGACATTTCTCTGCCAAAAATTTCAAACTCAAAAGGTTTTAAAAAAACACAGGGAAAAGAAGTTTATGGTCAGTGCCCGCATTTCGCGTTAAGTTCCTTTTTTTTTTGGTACTAAATGGCCTTGGTAATTCTAATTTGCTTCTCTGAATTTTGTGTCAGTCTGTTTTTGTATACAACAGCACTAATGGCTCGATGTATCGTTCCCCCCGTGATTTCTTTTTTTCCCCCTCAAACCTTTCCCCCCATCCTTCCCTTACAGTCCGCCAACTCTTTCATGGACAGAAATCAGAAAAAACCTCCCTGCAGCTCACTGAACATTTCTGTCAACTTTGTAGAGACTGTGTTAGGCTTTTTTCCAAAGAGAAATTTTTGTAGAAGATAGGTATCTTTGAGTTGTACTGTAGGTACCACGAATCCGTGTCAAACAAACATTACTCGTGTAAAGGCAAATCTATCGTAATGGGCAGAGTCTTCCTTTTTCAGCGTGGGAAGGGGAGGGACTGTCATCGCTTGCAGTTACTAATCTCAGATGGTTCAGTGTAGCGAAGAGAAATATGCAATTTGGAGATTTGCCCACTGAAACCATTCCTCATACACCACGTCATGACCTCATTCTGGAAATCGGTCACGTCTGTTTCTGTTACGATGGGTTTAGTATGTCTTGTATGTGTATAGTGGCTTCTCGTTTGAACCAAAACGTTGTCTGGTGCCCCGACCCTGACATATTTCAGGTCACCATTCTATTTACAAACACTCTTGTTGGAGAACGTTTAGTCGGAGGAAAGATTTCCTTCAAAAGAAACTTTGCTTAATTTGCTGTGATGTCTAGATTTTTACAAATCGCCACACTTACATGTAAACTCTTGACTACATCTTGTAATATATATTCCCTGTTTATTACATTTTGTACAGACGGTACAAAACATAGACTAAGCCTCTCTCTGGACCCAGTTCCTCTTATGCAGTGTAAACACCAGTGCAAGTCCTGTCGTATCATGGGAACCAACCCATTTTGCCCTCATGTTTTTCTACTTGCCTGTGATCAAACTGAAAAAGACCCACATTTGACGATGGGTGGTACATGTAAGTGGGCCGTTTGCTTTAAATTGATGCAAAGATGAAGTACTTTGAAGCAGGGGTATTCTGCTCTCTTCACCGAACAGCACAGCGTGGTGAGTTCCAACCCCTCTGGGTATGCTCTGTAGACTTTACAGTCGACGAATACAGACACCGCACGTTGCATGTACATCATTAAGTTCCTCACACTTGCTGGGAAGCATGCTGTGGTTTGTACCCTCGTTAGATTGTTGACGCTGGGGTTTGATGAAGATAAAGCCCTGCTAGCAGTCCGCCCGAGAGCTGTTAAAATTTGCCACGCTTTGTGTTAGTGACTGTAAACCCCACAGCTTGATTTGACTGTTCTAGGTACTCCGTAATGCGAGCATTTGATTCGCCATTGTTAACAAACCTGGGTCCTTTAATAATGCCTCGTCTTGTTTCTCCTTTGCTTAGATTACACAAATGCACATACGTGAGATTAACAGGAAATAAATGTTTATCATGTAAAAAACCTGCCAAAAAAGTTTGTGAGAATAGTTTTTCTTTCTTCGACATTTTCTCCCCCTTTTATGTCGGCCAGTCAGTTTGTGGAGGCAGTCTATTATATTTGTGTGTCATACTTCAACTTAATGAGGAGTGAATTTACAAGAACACAGCGTAATCCTCAGATGTATTCATGAGACCAGTGCTTGTAGATTCGTGCCGGTATGACTTTTAACCCCATTGTAACTCAAAGCACCACCCCCCCAACCACCACTCATAGAATGTGACAGAACATTTTGTGTAATTTTGCTGTGCAAAATGTGTCAACTTGAGAATCCTACCCAACCACGCTTACTGTACTGTCCAAAAACAGTGCCATCTTTGAACTATCCCACAGTTCACATGTACTGTGTGGTATTTGCATTATCTCCGTGGCCTGCTGCAAGACCGCAGGTGTGTCCCAAGAGTGTTTGGAAGCAGGGCTGAAAGACAACAAGTATAGGCACTCCACAGGCTAGCTGGTATAATGCAGTTAAATGTCTTCGTTGGTACAGGCCTTTGGGGTTGGCAGATTTTGGCTCTGTTCAGACTATGGTGTATGGATTCCACTTAAAACTGTTGGAAGTGTGTACAGGACCATGGAGTTTAACCATGTTTGCAGAGAACTGCTCCGACCAGCCTCATGCAGATGCCGTGATGCTGTCCCAGGGAAACCGGATTTGGTGATCCTGTATGCCTGAATACAAGTCATACATGTACACGGAAGTGCTTGCTGACTTCACTGCATACAAGCAAGTTAAGCTCAGTAGGTGGACGCAGTAGGACGCAGAAGTGTTGCACTCCAAGCTTAAGTTTATGGCTAAGAATTTTAAACTGTGATAAATGTGCGTTTCTGTTCTAGCTTGAACATCAGACTTACAGTTGAAATGGTGCAAATGCTTAACAATTTTGTCTGTGTGATGTCTTGTGCTGTCTTACTTCCTTGTTTTCCCTGGTTTTTCTTGCATAATTTCCCGAGGTGCTGGCTTGTAGTGAGAAGTGAATGAACAGTGCATAGCCAATTTTACTTCCCTTGTTTGTTTCCTCGTTTGTAGTGTTAGATTTTGCTTGACATTTAATCTGTGCTTCATAAAAATCACTTGGGCAATGGCTTTTATTTTTATTTTATTTTCAAAATCAAATCTTACTTTTAAGAGCCCTACATAAATACATGTACGCCAGAGACCTGTGCTTAGTCAGTACTTGTGATCTGTATGCTTCACGTGTATTAGCATAACTGTGTGACGAAGTAGAGTCGTCAATTTAGAGATCGCATTTAATTGTGTAAAGACATCAATAATGAAGAACAAAAGATTGTAAAAGAAAAAAAATGGAAAAGTCGCACAGTACTTTGAAAAGGAGATTCAACCCTTGTCATTGATTTTTATTTCTGTCAAGACTTCTACTTGTGAACGTGCACATGTATGTACAAGTTTGTGGGGTGTTGCTGATTGCTTTACAGTTGTTGATTTTTTTTTTTTTGATTGCTGAAAATAGTTACAAATCCTCCAAATTCCAGACCAGTGTTAAAAAACTCTGAAGAACCACTTGACACCATGTTTTGGGAAGCAAATATGTGCGACTTTGTGTGCTTGGATTAAAAATTGTGACACCCTAGCCTATTTCAGATGTGCCTGTCGCAAGGTCATTGGTGGTCATAATTGCTGGCCTCATGCTAACTTACTTGTAAAATTTTTTAGTAATGAAGATGAACCTAAAGATCAGAGAAATTATTGCTTTCTTGGACTGTAATTTTAAGTGTTAGTCAATTTTTGTCAGATTTGCTGCCAAAGAGCTTGTTCCCCATTTGGATTCTATGCATTGTGCGATTGTGGCATGTAGGTGCTAGCAGGTGAACACTGCTAGTGAAACCCCCCCCCCCAAAAAAAGATCTTCCCGTGATACGTTTGAACACCAAGGGCTTCCTCCAAGCTTGTGAACTCGCCATGGAGCGGTCTAGACCAACAGATTGGTTTGTTTTTGCTCGTACAATCACGTTCCCTTGAGTTGGGTTGCAATGAGTGTCAGTCATCGTTTGCTGTGAGGACAAGAAATGCTTGTTTGGCCCTGTCTTCCACATCCAAACCAAACTCAAAAGGTTTTTTGGGTGTTAAATGTTCACATACGGGTGATTAAACATTGATTAAACTTGAAATGCCTCTGGATAAGCACGGTCAGTTATTGCATTGATTTGCCTTTGCCCTGACAGCCCTGAATCCTTTGATTTCAATATGATTTTACTCGCACCCTAGGGGGTTAAGGTTAGTAGCACTTTTTCTGTGTTGCAGTATTTCCAAGGCCCGTTAGAACTTCTCCCAACTGCAAGTCTTTTGATTTCATTAATCTCGAACTGAAAAAAGGGATACAAAAAATGTCTAAAACATCCTTTGGGCAAAATGCAATTGCATGGTTATTCCTTTTCAATAGGAGTGTCATTTAAAATAAGACGATAATAAGGCGTACGTTGCTACATCATGTGAGATTCAACTTTCAAACAGAGTTTGGATTTTCAGGGAGGCAAAGCAAAACTCCCATTTCATTCACCCCTATTTTTTTAGGACTACTGTCAAGTTGTTTGTATTATCCACAGAAAAACAAGCCCTCAGATGGGCAGTAATCTGCTATTGGGATATAAAAAGCCAGTCTATCATCAAGCCAGTTATCAAATGTTGCATTCTAACTTGCAACAGCCAGTGAGGCTGAAAGCAGGTTTTCCATGACAAATCATTATCCAGCTTCGAAAATCTAAATTAGCAAGTTAAAGGAGAAACAATAATATATGCCCTGGTCAATCCAGGGGCTTCGCTACAAAAAGGGAGCTCAGAGAACTGCCTTTTATTTTATTATCGGCAAAATTCCTTTCTTGCCATTGATAGTGTTTGTCATTTTTGTGTTGCAGAAGAGAATTATATGAGTCTTTTAAAAAAATATTTATATAAGCTTATGAGTCTTATGAATTTGAAAAGATATAATCTTTTCCAGTGAGGAAAAGCTGGTTTGACTAAGGTCAACCCAACCCAGGTGCTCAAGTACTCAAAGGTGTTGGATTTTGTAGAGCCCCCCCCCCCCGGCCTTTTCACAGTTGCAGTTTCCCCTGCAATAACTGCTGCTCAGCTGTCCAAAACTACAGACTACATTAGGCCAAGGGTTAAAATATTTCCATTCAACTCATATTTTCTTAAATTGAGGTTTCCTTCTACTAATCAATTTTGGAGCATAATTTCCTCTTCATTTGTAAATGAAGTTCCTTTGATGGTTAAAACATCAAACGCCTAGGCTAAAGGTGAAGACCACTAATTCGAGTGAGAATTTCTGGCCAGCTCATTAGAATTAAGAGTGCCCCCACAGTCTTTGAGCTTTCATATGAGAGCAGAATGGCTAAAAACTGCGGTTGAAAAATGGTCGTAAGTGCCCGAGAAAGTTGAGGGTTGCCACTTGAAAAATGGCTGCCATCGGACTACAGAAAAGATCACTTTTCGGGGGGTGATTTTGTTTGTGGGAATAATTAAAAATGTAATTGGTTAACCCACAAAAAATTGAAAAGAAATTGAAGGATTAGGGACTGGACAATAATTTCCTATGTGTTTATGAAATATCAGGGATGTTTATGCATGTTATTGGGCCCTGAACATTGCTGATTTTGCACAGAGCTTGAATTAGTGGACTGTACCCACAAGGCGGCCTTCTCGCCGCACTATAGTCTGGCTCCTTTAAGGCCTTGTGCTTTGCAACGTGATACTACGAGTAATTTACCAAGTGTCGATCAGGTACCGCCCAAGTGTCAAATGGGTAGCACTTTTCAGCTCAACACTGTCGCACTGAGCATGCACTAAGTCAATAAAAATGTGTACCGTAACGATTGATAGAGTTACTCAAGTTCACATATTTTGGTAAGTATTTTACTAACCTATCAGTTAAGTACCTTGTAGACCTGCTGTGTATGACGTCACGAACGTGCGTGACGTTAGTTAGGCCTGATGCCAGCAAAAATGTTCAATACCTTCATGACTTTCATTGGCCTTAGCACCCTGTCATGCCTGTTCCTATATTATTTATAATAAGGAAACGAAGTCTACTTTCTGAACTATCCTAACTAACATTTTGACCTTAAGGACCATTACTAAATCTTGATACTGAGTGAAAGGCCTAGTTTAGGCACAGGACTAAATAGGAGGATGACATCTTGTGTTGTTTTCATCGTGGGACCATCCTGGCTGCTGCCATGGCTGCTGTGATCTGGAAACACCCATGGCATTGGGCAGGACGTGTGACGTGCTGTGCTGTGTAGCGGTGACAGATTGCGAGACTTAAAAATCCTTCAACCCCCCCACCACCCAAAATTGTGGAACCAAGATGCGGAGCAAGCGCTGTCATTGATGGGCTTGACATATGCACAGTCTGATAAACACGAACGGCAACAGAGCAACAGTCAACGGGTGGAAGTGAAAAGTTGGTGAACAAAAATCTCATTTTTTTTCAAAAATATTCAGTCTCATGCTCTGAAACTTTGCTATCCCGCTTTTTAAGAGGTATAGATTAATTGGGCTTGCTGATGGGAAGATTTGATTTAAGAGCGTTTTTACACCTGTGAACCATTTCACTACAAAACTTCTATTCCAAAACCCCATAGCATTATGAGTTACGACACCATGTAAACTGTGTTGGCTCAAAGTCACACGGAGTATGCCAGAGTAGTGACTTTGAATTCTCTAAATATTCGCGGCGGTCATGTACCCTGCCGTTTACCCCAACATTTCCCTCAAAAACCAAAAGCCCTGTTCTCTTTTCTTTCTGATACGAAAGAGGGCATCACCAACAGCTGGTTTTATAAGTTGGTTTGAAAAAGCAGAATTTGTTCCCTTATTAGAGAGCAGGGTGCTCAAGGCAACGAACACCAGTATAGTCACCATAGTCTGCTTCCATTTCAATGTGGTTTATTCTTCCTTGACATGAAAATGTTCTGATAATAAATTTAAGTCGGCCACGCTCAGGCATGTTAGGTGGCGACTTCAGGGCTGCATGTGTGTCAGTTCGCCATTACATTAAAAGCGCCTGTTATTCTGAAAAATCAATACCACAGTCATGACAGTTGACAACTGCATACTTTTTGGTATACAGTCGAACACAATTAAAACGAGCACGCTTGAGACGAGATCAGGCTTACTACAAGCATATTTCATCAGTCCCGTTCAAAATGCACACATTCCTATGAGAGAAAATTTATTCAACTTAATAACAGCTGTGCTAAGATGAGAACACACATGAGACAAGCACTTTTGCCTAACCCATAGTGTCAAAAACCATTGTCCATAGCATTTTTACAACGCGTACAATTGAAAGGCCTCTTCAAAAGCTTAATGTAAGTAAATCCTGATGGAGCGCGTCAGTAGTTCTCCAATACATGTAATCCTAATCCGCTCAGCAATTCACTCTGCGTTTTTACCACTGATGACTTGGGGACTCTGTTCCTTGTGCCGCTAGAGGGGGCTTTATTCAAGACGACGGTGGGTGTTGTGATGCTACGGGATCAAAGGAGTTTCAATCACAGTGGGTCTGGTCCAAAAGAGGTGTTTTTGGCGAGCTGCAAAGCAAGTGCGAGCCTATGTAATACCGATTTCCGTCTTCTGTCCGTCCGGCCGCCCTCAAATATTAAAAGTTTTTCCTTGCAGGTCCATAGGTGTTATAATGTGCCATTGAGGGCTTGTTTGCTTTCTTTTGGAATTCCATCAGTATTTAAATAGTCTCACATGGCATTAATGCTTAGAAACTTACAAATTTAATGTAAAAATTCTAAAAGTTTAATGTTAACCACTTCCTACCGGGGATTCTGGATCCGGACATGTATGCTTTATATGCGTGGCCGGGGGCTCCGAACTCGGACAAATGGAACAGGGCCTTGTAACAAAAGACCGTACTCTGAACAAAAGGCCAGGCTGCTGGGCATTACCGACATTTTTTCACTCTCAAAAGTGGAGGTAATCCAGCCTTGTTTTGAAACAGTATACCACGGTTTGGGGCATTTAGAGCCAGCGGATTATCACTGGGACAAAAGGGCTCTACGCGATGAGCCACACAGCACAGCTGCATGCTAATCTTTTAAAAAGAGGTCAGCAGCAGCAGCAGCAGCAGCAGCGTACTGAACCAGGTTCGTGAACAAAAGAAAGTTATATAACACCGCACAGTCTGGGCTCTTTTTACAAGGCTGCAGGCCTGGCTGAAATGCTCGGGCATCAATAGATTTTGTCTGTCAGGCTAGAGGGGCCACCAGACAGTCCTTCATGTGTTTGTAAGTGTCCAGTAAATGAAGATAGGAATTTTTAAAGAATTTTGTAAACAGAAAAAAAATGATAAATATCCTGACCCAGCATCATCAACATTTATAACTGCCCCAGCAGGAAGTGGTTAAAGTTCTGAGTTATGTTGTGTGCTTACCCTTTTGTACATACAGTACGTATGTACTGAGCACTCCTGTGATGTACATGTATGTATGTATAGACAGTGTTCAGACACATACAAATGTACATGTACAGTATGTGGGGAAAATGTAAGGGATGGGGGGGGGACTCCAAGTGACAGATTAGGATGTTTGTTGGGGGAGGGGCACCCGTAGGAGGAGGATCATGGGGACAAGGTACATGTATGTAGAAAGTGGATGAAATGCTGGATAAGGTTGGTGTAATGGTTGGGCTGGATT